CCAGGTTCCCGCTGCCTCTGCTCCAGCAGCTGCTGCCGCTGCTTTCGCATGCAGTTGCTGCCTCCGATGAAGCAGCAGCAGAGGCAAACGCAGCAGCAGCAGCAGCAGCAGCAGCAGATCGCCTCCGCCGAGGTGCTGCTGAGGCAGCAACCTCGCTGCTGCTGTGTCTTGCGCCTTTGCTGCAGCTAAGAAGCAGCCTTAAAGGGTGGCCCTGGGGGCCCCCGAAAGTACCCTTTTGGGGGCCCCTTGAGACAGACGCAGGTGCACACGGGGCTGCATGCGAAGCAGCAGCGCTGCTGCTGCTGCTGCAGCAGCAGCTGCAGCAGCGAAGGGCTAATGGCTTCTCGTCTAAGGCACAAAAGCGCTGGACTAAAGCCCTGGTACGCAAACCCTAAACCCTAAACCCTAAACCCTAGTTTCCTTCTATGTCGCTGGCGAGGCAAATGCGGGCTTTGCGTTTCTGTTAAACCTGCTGCTAATGTTGCTGCTTGTGCTGTTATTGCTGCTGTTGCTGCTGCTGCTGTTGCTGTTGCTGCTGCTGCTGTCGCTGCTTTTGTCGTTGCTGTCGCTGGCTGATCTTGCTGCTTTTTCTGTTGCCGCTGCTGTTTCCCTTGCTACTGCTGCTGCTGCTGTTGTTCTTGCTGCTGTTGCTGCTGCTGTTGCCGTTGCCCTTGCTGCTGTTGCTGCTGCTGCTACTCAGGAAGCTCTTGCTGGCCTTCGAGACGCCCAGCTGACGCAAACCCTCGAGGCTGTAGCTAGCGCTGCGAGTCTGACTGAGGGTTTAGGGTTTAGGGTTTAGGGTTTAGGGCCTGGGTTTAGCAGCAGCTGTTCTAGCCCAGAGGGTATAGGTGAAGGGGGCCCCCCTTGGCTTCCCTCATGGACCCTTAGGGGCCCCTAGGGGGCCCCTTACGGGTAACCTGAGGAAGGGGGCCCCTCATGGGTACCCTCTAAGGGGCCCCCGGGGGGCCCCTAGGAGGCCTGTTTGAGGGCTTCTCAAGGGCTCCCCGCAGCGTTTGGGTGCCTTTGAGGGCCCCCCAATTTTAAGGAGCTCCAATATGACCTGGGGGGCCCCCTGGGGGTCCCTGAGGGGCCCCCCAGGGAGCCCCCTCGTCGGTGCAGGGGGTAGCAGGAGGCCCCTGGGGGGCCCCCAGGGGGCCCCTAGAGGGGCCCCCAGGGGCCCCTAGAGGGGCCCCCAGGGGGCCCCTAGAGGGGCCCCCAGGGGCCCCTAGAGGGGCCCCCAGGGGGGCCCCAGGGGGCCCCCTTCAAGGAGAAGGAGCCGGTAAAAGGGTTTATGACTAATCTTCCGTTTTCAATGGGCAAGTAAATCTGCTTTTAGTAATTAGCATTTGTTTATTGAATACTTTTATCAATTAATTTATATATGTTAATTACTTTATTTATTTGTTTATTCATTTATTTTTTGCTTTTGCTCTCCTACTTGTCTTCCATTGACTTGGCTGCCAGATTTGGCATTTAAATAAAACAAAAAACAAAAAATTGAATTTAGAATAAAAGAAATAAAAAGAAATAAAATGATTAAATATATTAAAAGCAAAAGAAATATAAATTAGAGAAAAATAGTCAAGTTGATATATTTATTATACTTTATGCATGCCGAAATAAATGCAGAAAAATACTGCAGCCAGCAGCAGCTACCTGCAGCGTTAAGGCTTCAGGCGCATGCAGCGGCTGCATGCAGCAGCAGCAGCAGCAGCAG